ATATTCACCAAGGCACTTCAGCCTGGTGATCATCAGCGCTTCTGTACTTTGTTAGGGCTTGTGCCTACTTTGCCTCACTTGCTGTAGACCTTGCCTGTACTGTGATCTATATACTTATACCTGCATGCTTGCACTGCTAGGCAGAGATCACTGTGATGTTTCTGATGCATATATGCCTCTGCATATGAACTGGCCTTGTGGCTCTTTGCTTGTGCTCAGTGTGTGTGGTGACTTTGTGATCCACCCTGAGCTTGCATTCTCTTTCTTGACTGGTCTTGTGACCCCTTGCTCTACCCCACTTAGCCTATGGGATGTGTCAAACATTATATATGTTATTGTTGTGTAGGCTATAGTGGGTCAGCCTTTAAGGGGTACATCATTCTAGGGTTTGCCACTTGTATCACCAATGTTCATAGTTCAATCACTTGTTCTTTCTGACAATAGCAAACCCTAATCGGGATGATCAGCACAACAAGCAGCAGTTCATAGTTCACAAATATAAGCAAAGCTATAGGCTATCACAGAGGGCAAGTGAGGAGGAGGAGGGACTATGAGAGGAGAGGAGGTGGTGGGCGGCAGCTGAAGCTGCTAGCACACGGCGCAACTGGAGCAACTGGCACATGGGCAACTGGAGCAACTAGCACACTGGCAACTGGAGCAACTGGCACACGGGCAACTAGAGTAACTGGCTCCGCGGCTAGACGAGCGGCAGGAGCAACTGACTCACGGGCGACTGGAGCAACGGGCTCACGGGCGACTGGAGCAACGGGCTCACGAGCGACTGGCGCAACGGTCTCACGGGCGACTGGCGACTGGAGCTGCTAGCTTCACGGCGGCCACCCCCCTTCGACCTCCCCCATCGGCCCAAAATTCCCGTTCACACACCCCTTGCTGCACCCCTAGCTCCACTCCCATGTCACCCCCCTAGCACCACTCCCTCGGCTCCCACACACCCACCCCCCTCAGCGGCAGCTGCAGCAGTGGGAGACGGAGGAGGAGGAGGAGCAGGGGACGGCTCACACACCCGCCACCCCCATAGCCGCCACCCCAAGATCCAAACGCAGGCGGGGCGGGGCGGGTAGCAGCTAGGGCAGCGTGCGAGCGGAAAGCAGGGCGGGGCGCGGGTCCTGTCAGAATCCCAACCACTAGTCCATTGGGATAAAAGGGCTTGTTAAGTAGCGGATCAGTGCGCCCATAACCCCCCAGGACAAGTAGCCTGTAACCCTTCCTTAGGATCAATCGGGGATCACCAGTGGACCTCTGACACCCCCCCGCACTGGGATGCCCAAAGTGCACACACTGGGATTCGAACCCGAGACCTTTGCTCTGATACCATGTCAGAATCTAACTAGCGTGAAGAATTGACTAAGGTAATGAAGTTACAAACAAGATATAGGAAACCCTAGCAAATGTCCTAGCACAAGTGTAACACATTGTACAACACCTAGACTAATATATAGAAACTAGATAAATATAGTTTGACAGGTCACTGGGGCGCTGCGACAGGGGAAGAACAGGGCGGCGCGCGGGCTCCCAGGGCGCCACGACGGGCGACGGGAGGGGGCGGCGCGCGGGCCCCCAGGGCGCCGCGACGGACGACGGGAGGGGGGGCGACGCGCGGGCCCCCAGGGCGCCAGGGCGACGCTCAGGCCCCCGGGGCGCCACGACGGGCGACGGGAGGGGGGGGGGCGACGCGCGGGCCCCCAGGGAGCCGCGCCGGGCGACGGGAGGCTGGGCGACGCACAGGCCCCCAGGGCGCCACGACGGGCAACAGGAGGGGACAGCGCGCGGGCCTCCGAGGCGCCACGACGGGCGACGAAACCGCCGCGCGCTCCCGGGGCGCACGGCGGCCAGGAAACCGCCACGCGCCCCAAGCGCGTGGCGGGAAGAAAAATTGAACATCGCATGCCACGGGGCGCGCGACAGACAGTATGGCAGCGGAAGTAGGCGGGCCCACAGGCCAGGAGCGTAACCGCTCTGATACCACGTCAGAAATGCTAGACAGAAAGATAGAACACGAAAGAGGGGTTGCACTAGTAAGCAGGGCAGTACATATAGCAAACCCTAATCGGGCTGTATTCACTATAGAGTACCCCACTGCAGACTAGACAGATGACACATTCTGACAGAGTTCGCCCTGTAGAGGGCTTGTTGACAGGAAATGGCCGCGCCCTCGCTTGGGCGAAGTAGACTCCGCAGTCGGGGGTGCGCAAAAGTCGACGCAGACTTTGTGCAATAAACAATGCAGACTGCGCGAAGAAGGCGACCTCGACCTGTCCGTAGAATTCGACCTCGACTAGCCCGCAAAAGTCGTCGGCAGAGGATGCTGGCCGTCGTATAGGACGCTGTTCAACTAGCTCGCATAGGACGCTGGTCGACGAGCTCGCAGAGGACGCTCGTCGATGGGCTCGCAGAGGACGCTGGTAGACAAGCCAGTACAGGACGCTGGTATTAGAGCTTCATCGAGAACGCACGTAGACGAGCCCCATCGAGGAACATGGGTCGACGTGCTCTGCTCGACGAGCTCATCTAGACGAAAGCAGTTTGACTGAGCATTTGTCGAGCAACTCTACGGAAGTCGCGCGTCTGCGAAATCCGTCGTCGTGTGGGCGAATGCCGGCCAGGAGGTTTTCGCGAAGTCAACCTGTGAAACGACATCACGTGCTCGACGCTGCACGGCTGGCAAAACCGTGGACACGTGTTCTACCTGGCACCTGCGTAATGTGGTTGGCAGTGCGTCCCTCTACCCGCACCTACTTGGAAGGTGCGCATATGCGCAGAAGTTTACTTGCCTCAGTAGCGCTGGCAGACCGCTGCTTTGCAAAGCTGGCAGACTACTCTACTGCTGGATTGGCAAGCCGCTCTAATACTGCGCTGGCATAGTTCGTCATCTCGTGGGCTTGCTATGTTCTGCAATGCCATTCACACTATATCGACTTGCATGCCTCATAAATATCTAATGTTATCTCAATTTCGTAAGGTGACTCTTGCCAACATTCCCTATAAACATAGCAAATAGTGAGCACGCTGGTGCAATGCTATGATCACCCGCACAACCCCGTGCCCTACTCCGTAGTCCACTCCCGTTGTGTAGTGCCTTTCCGCAGGGCTTGCTGGGTATTGCAATGCCACCCTAGCTGTATCGATTCGCATGACTCATTGTAATCTATTGTTCTGTCGACTTCTTAGTGAAACTCTTGTCAAATTTCTTTGTGAACACACCAAGTAGTGAGAACGACAGTAGAGCGTTACAATCACCCGCACAACTTCGTGCCTTTCTCCGTAGTCTACTACCGTTGTGTAGTGACTGTCCGCACTAACCAGTTTGTATTCACGACATGCTGGCAGGCTTGTACTAAATTGACTCCCTAGTATAATCATTGCGTATAGTTACTCTACAACAGTAGGAGCTGAATTACAGATGCTGGCTCTGGTGGTTTGAGTGATCGTAGCAACGATTGTGTTATCACTACTTGTGTGCCCAAAAATCAATCTCGGTAGAGTTTCAATATCAAACCAATGATGTGCGGATGATAGGCAACAATGACTTCATCAGATGCAAGTCCGGTTAGCACGCTGCATGTCGCCCGCCAGCGCATCGAAGTCGGCGACCTACAAGCACTACAAGTCAACCCAACACAAACGCTGCAAAAGAGCAGCTCGCCAACATTGCAGGTTGGCAGCCTTACCTGTTTGCGTGCAGGTAAGACGATCATCTGATCGACCAAATGATTTGGTCGTCGAAGTTCATCGAGATCGGGTTGACTTCGTCCTGTTGTTCTTAACGTTATTGAACCGAGAGTAATGATCACATGTGTCACAATCCTAAACAGGACTTAGCTAGGGATCAGCTAAGGGTTGTTTGCAGGTAGTTTTGTTGCGTAAGCATTGACCTCAGGTCAGAGTGAATATAAAATTATCGAAATTATTGTAGCATGCATTCGTAGAGTTTACTTTGGAAATACATGGAATACGAAAAGTCCTAGACTAGCCATGTACTCTATGGGGTACATTCGCTGATTGCAGCAAATTCAAACCGTGCGGCCCGGGAACCCGTTTTAAACATGTCCCCCCTCTTTTCAATACAAATGTTTCTGCTTGCATTGCTCCAGATCTGACAGGTGCTGTTGTTGCTTCGACTCCTCTGACTCCTCAACTTCGTACTCCGTGGAGTCGGCTCCTACAGCATACAGGAATTCTAACTCGTTATATTTTATATTTCAACGACATGCCCGTCGACCTGGCACCTGAGTTATGTGTGTGACGGTGCGCGTGCGATCGTATGCTTGCACCTATTTGTCTGGTGGACACATTCGCTCACGCCGTCCTCTAAATAGTAGACGTTGACACGTCGACCTGCTGCATCATTGGCACGCCACAAAATTGCGATGTAGACAAGCTGCTTTTGTGCTGAGCTATAAGTCGGCCTGCTGGGTACTTAGTTGGTGGTGCATGTTTTCCGCATCGACAGTGTGCGGGAAGAGTTGCTAACGTATCAGACACTGACCAAAGTACAAGTCTAGTCAACTTTACGGTTTCGTACTGCACTCATCGTATGCAGCCAGTTTCGGTTTGCTTGACAACGATCGTGTAATGTGTAAAACACTGCATTTCAGTCAGCTTTTGGCACCTCATTAAAATGCAAAAGCATTCTCGATCCTACCCATGTCAAATTGCAAACCTGTCTAGGTTGCACAACACTTGATGTGATAGCGAGGATAATTTCACAGACGTCAGTTTTACGGCAAGGACATGCGCACAACAAGTTTTCACTATCCACGGCTATGTAGCTGCCCCGCAGAATCGACGGCAGTCTTCGACCGCGGTTCGTCTCTCCAGTGAGTTTGGGCATTCGAATTGACGCTGAGGGAACAACAGTTAGCATCCTCGGAATGACGAGCGGTATAAAACGGTGAGCTGTTGAACAGAACGGTGTAATATTGAAGACAAACAGCCCCTAACCGCCTGACCATCCCAACTTCGGCATCACACCAGCCGCGATGCATGACTCGGACTCTGATCGACTCGTCACGTCAGGTCAGTCCCTGCCATTTTTTGTTCATCGTCGCAGTTTTGCACAGCCCCCAAGCAGCTCGGCTAGTTTAGTTGTGGGGAGTGCCGTCTCATGTGATCCTCAGCAATGCTTTTCCTCTAGTATTGCATGACGAAGCCCAAATCGTAAACCGACGCGCCTGCTCCCAGGGGGAGGAGCACAAGAATTGTAGTTCGTCTCGAGAAGGAAGCAGCAGCAGCAGCAGGCTCGACGAAAGCGTAGTGGGATTGGTACCGCAAACAGCCAATCTGCGAAACGGTAGGCGGAATGTACAATGTGTGACTCCGGACAAGGTTTCATAATTTTCAATCAGCTCAGCTCCAACCACCAATGCGCTGATTGACACGGTTCACTTTTTGTGTTCAGGGCGCCTGAAGCTTATGCCGGTCTCCCAACTCTTGCAATCTCCTCTCACCGAGGCCGCCCCTGCACCTCCTATTGTTCGCGGAAGCGCTCCTGTCATTCCACAAAATGCATCCGCCTTTGTCCCTCAAGCACAGGCTGGAAGGCAGTCCGCAGTTGCGCAGGCCAGCGCAAGGCAGAACCAAGGTCTCGCTGCGCTCAGCTGTGGGCAGCAGAAAGAACTAAACTCGGCCGACCCTGCAGCTTTATCTTTTTGCGGTGTAGCTCATGTTCTCCCACAAGACTCATGCGCCGTTGTCGCGTATACCACTGTTGTTTTGAATACTCCAGTCGCTCAAGCAGGCTCTGGCCTGCAGCCCGCAGCCGAGCAGGCCAGCTATGGGCAGCACCCCACAATTGATGCTCACATCGATGGTCAGCAGCTCGCAAGCGGCTCGCAAAGCTATGGGCAGCAGCAAGGTGTTGGCGCCGCCAGCACTGGTCAGCAGCAGGGAAGCGCCTCGCCAAACTACGGGCTGCAGCAAGGTGTTGGCGCCGCCAGCACTGGTCAGCAGCAGACATGCGGCTCGCCAAGCTATGGGCAGCAGCAAGGTGTTGGCGGCGCCAGCACTGGTCAGCAGCAGGGAAGCGGCTCGCCAAGCTATGGGCTGCAGCAAGGTGTTGGCGCCGCCAGCACCGGTCAGCAGCAGGGAAGCGGCTCGCCAAGCTACGGGCTGCATCAAGGTGTTGGCGCCGCCAGCACTGGTTAGCAGCAGGGAAGCGGCTCGCCAAGAGCAAGGTGTTGGCGCCGCCAGCACTGGTCAGCAGGGAAGCGGCTCGCCAAGTTAAGGGCTGCGGCAAGGTGTTAATAAGCCCATTGCCAATGTGCCACCTGGCTATGCTTCAGCCAGCGCAGCCATGCACCACGCCAACGCTTTCGAAGAAGTGGTGCTGGAAGAGGCGTACCACCATGTTGGAGCGAATGTACTTGTCCCCAACCTCTTAGCTGATTGTGCCCCTGGCCACGCTGGTGACCAAATTGCAGCAGCAGATGACTAAATGGCGGAGATCTGCGAGTTTAAGCGTAAGCTGAAAGAGAAGGAAAACGAGAACCAGCTCCTTCGCCGGTGTTCGCCGGGATCCTCTAGCGGTGCATCCGGAAATGACACCAACCGAGAGGATAGCGTTGGTCGGACCGAGCCAGCTGCCCCTGGACCATTAACGAGTGCCCCACGGCCCCCCCAGGTAAGCCTAGCCGTGAATAGCATGACTTAATATCATCTCCAATATTCGATTCCGCTTGCATCACACGCTAACCATTGTAAGAGCAACATCATAACGTATGTCATTTGCAATACCATGATGGTAACGACGCTGCTCCCTTGTTCACTTGCTGCCTGTTAGATCCTTTTGCAAGCAAAGATCACACCATGCGTTGCCAACCCTCTCTATTTTCCCATTTTTTTTTACCGTGTGTTCTGTCACACATGCAGACCCCCCCTCAGCATGTGGCAGGTCCGTACATGGGTTCTACGGTAGCCTTGACTCGGGCAGAGATAGCTAAACAGCTATCTGTTGCCAAAAAAACTTATTTGCAGTTCACGATGCACTATGTGGCACCACAGGACCAAGACTGGGCCTGCAGAGTGGACCGTGCAATGAAGGCCATCCCAAACGTCAGAACTGGACTTCGTGTAAGTCTAAACCTAAGCTCGAATCAAACTGCCCATTCCATGTGGTATGTCACCACAGCTGCTTGTATGTGTTGCTTGCACGTGCTGCTTGCATGTGCTTCATGCAGCAAGTGCTTGCATGTGCTGCTTGCATGTGCTGCTTGCATGTACTGTTTGCATGTGATGCTTGCATGTGTTGCTTGCATGTGCTGCTTGCATGTGCTGCTTGCATGTACCGATTGTATGTTGTTCTCACATGTGCCGCTTGCATGTGCTTCTTGAATGTGCTGATTGCATGTGCTACTTGCATAAGCTGCTTGTATGCATGTGCCTACTTGCATTGCCCTTTCAATGCAATGCAAACCGTTTTCAATTGTTTCCCCCGTGCCCTTGGTGGCTCCATTTCTCCATGTTTTGTTATTTATGCCCCACTCAAGACATTTGATCGCAAACTTCACACCCCCAGGGAAAAGTGATCTGCGCCAGGGATATACTTTTTTGGGAGAGAGCTGACGTTGACATCAGCTTTTAACCAAGTAGGAGAGCATTGCTGCAGGCGCTTGGTCAGGCCCTAGGCTTTACCCAGCAATGGCAGTATGATCAGCTTGAGCTGGTCTACGAACTTGACGGGCTTCGGACAAGCTACATCCGCAAATTCTTTCAAGACTATCGCTACGACATCCTCGCTCCTACTCGTGTCATTGTGATCAAGGCATTCTGTGAAAGAACGAGGGATGAGTGAACTAGCAAGCAGGTGGGTACAAGTAGGAAAACCTAAAAGTGTTGTACCCCATATTGTCTACCCCACTGCAGCCTACACAGACTATAGCATATGAGTTTGACACACCCCCATAGGCAAAGTGGGGGAGAACAAGAGGTCACAAGACCAGTCAAGCAAAGCAAAGCAAGCTCAGGGTGGATCACAACGTCACCACACATTCCGAGCACAAGTTCAAGGCCACAAGGCCAGTTCACATGCAAGATCATATATAAAGGTAAACAAGCAAGTGCAGGTATAGAAAGATCACAGTACAAGCAAGGTCAAGAAGTGAGCAAGTGAGGCCAACTAGGCACAAGACCTAGCATCGTACAGAAGCGCTGATGATCACAAGGCGGAAGTGCCTTGGTAAAGATATCAGCAGTGTTGGCCTCAGAGGCCACGTAAGCAAGGCGCAGCTGACCACGCTGCTGCAGCTCACGAGCAAGAAAGTAGCGAAGAGCGATGTGCTTCATTCTGTGCTCCAGTCTGTGCTCCCGACACAAGGCCAGCATGGCCTTGTTGTCTACGTACAGAACTGGAGGAGAACGAGGCGGCTCTCCAAGGTCAGTCAGCAGGTAGGTGAGCCAGCGTAGCTCCTGTGCAGCCATGGCCCCTGCGTAGATCTCAGCCTCACAGCTCGAGCTGAGAACAGAAGACGAGCGGGTAGACCGCCACGAAACAGAACCGGAACCAAGGCTGAAGGTGTAACCCTGTGACGACCGCTGCGTAGCCAAGTCGTCAACCCGAGACGTGTCTGCGTGACCAGTGAGGACCACTGGACTCCGCCCTCCAAGCACTAGCCCCATGCCCGACGTACTGCACAAGTAGCGCAACACCCTCTTCGCTGCAGCCATGTGCTCAGGGAGGTGTCTCCCAGGAGCAACATAGCGTGCCAGAATGCTGAGAGGGTATGCAAGGTCAGGTCGTGTGCAAGTCATCAGGTACATGAGGCAGCCAACAAGCTCTGGGTACGGGCCACTCGGCTCTAGGGACTCATCCGAAGGCAGAGCTGAGAGCGAGTGGCGAGTAGACAGAGGAGTGGCCTGTGGCGAGGAGTACGTGAAGCCGAAGCGCTGAAGGACCTGCTGCACCATGTGTGACTGAGTCAGGGTAATGGTGCGCTGTGCTCTGTCCCGGGTGATCTGCAAGCCAAGGTAGCTGCGCAGTTCACCCAGGTCTGTGCACGTGTGTCTCTTCTGCAGCTCGGACTTCACGTGGGCGAGTCCAGCAGTGTCAGCTGTGGCAAAGACCAAGTCGTCGACGTACACGAGGATGTAGAACGGCGGCAAAGAGGTGTCGGTGCGCAGAAACAGCGACGGGTCAGCAGTAGAAGGAGCAAACCCAAGAGCCGCAAGTGTAGTCCTCAGTGTGTCGTGCCACTCACGAGGTGCCTGGCGGAGACCGTAGACTGGCCGCCGGAGGCTCCACTGGGTGCCAGGAGGAAAAGACCCAGTGAAGCCAGGTGGGCGGCGTAGCCAGATCTCCTCGTGCAGGCTACCCTGTAGGAAAGCAGTGCTGAAGTCAAGAGAGTGAAGCTCGTAGTCGCGCTGAGCGGCTATGTGCAGTAGCACCCAAAGAGTGGTCATCTTCAGGGTGGGAGAGAAGGTCTGAAAGTAGTCAACTCCCTGCCGCTGACTGAAGCCTCGAGCCACGTAACGCGCCTTGAAGACAGGCGGAGAACCCGGCGGCCGCTTCACCCTGAAAATCCACATGCCACTGACGATGTTCGCCCCAGGTGGGGGAACCTCGTCGACGTAGGTGCCTGTGGACTTCCAGGAAGCCATCTCTGCGTCCATGGCTGCCTGCCACTGAGAGGAGTAGGGACCCTCTATCGCCTCCGCGAGCGCGGAGTCGGGATGTCTGGTGCATCCGGGTCTCCCTCAGGGGCCAGCAGCATGGACACGAGATGAAGTGAAGCAGCAGCAAAGCACTGGAACTCCTCCTGCCTGTCCTCAAGGACGTCCGTGCGAAGGGCACACTCACCCCCGACGGACGGAGGACAGACAGACTCAGACTCAGCGACAAGACTAGCAGCGTAGTCTAGACGACAGCGAGCAGCAAAGTCGACAAGCTCAGCAACTAAGGCAGACGCAGTAGTGGACTCGAAGGAAGGGTCAGTGACGACAGTAGCAAGGAGACGCGTGACAGTAGGACTGGCAGCACGAAGGGAGTCCGACTCTGGGTCAGCAAGAGCAGGAAGAGAGGACACAGGAGGAGAAGGCAAAGGGGCACGCAGCGGAGCAGTGGAAGGACGCAGAGACATCCGGTGCGTGCCGGGGACAGGGGGAGGACGCGGACGCGAACCACGACCACTAGTGCGAGCAGCACGGACAGGCGACGCAGGACGAGACGCAGGCTCACGACGCTCAGCAAGACCTCCAGTAGGACCAGTGTAGGGAGAAGGAGCAGGCAGTGGGGAGGCTGGCTGTAACTGTGACTCAGACTGGACAGGCGGCGGACACTCTAAGAGAGGAGCAGGACTAGTAGAGGGCGGAAGACCAAGAACCTGCTCAAGGAGCGGAACGAAGTACGGCTGCGGCCGTGCAGCACCCCCAGAACCAGCAGGAACAGCGCCAGCACCACGAACGGCAGCACCAGCTCCAGTAGCACCCCCAGCTCCAGCAGCGCCAGCAGCTCCAGCTCCAGTAGCACCCCCAGCTCCAGCCGCGCCAGCAGCACCAGCTCCAGCGCCAACACCCCCAGCAGCTCCAGCTCCAGCTCCAGCAGAAGGAGTACCCGCAGGCCCAGCAGCTCCAGTACCTCCAGTGCGAGCACCTCCGGGACCCGTGGCACCAGCACCCTCAGCAGCAGTAGAACCTCCAGCACCAGCAGCACCTCCAGCTCCAGCAGTACGGCTCCAACGCCGAGCAAACTACTCGCGCAGCTCCTGTGGAGAGAGTAACTCTTGCCGGGACGAAGCACCCGAAGGACCTCCAGGCCCAGTCCCTCCAGACGCCACACGAGCAGGCTCAGCACCCCCAGGCTCCACACCCCCAGGCTCAGCACCCCCAGGCTCAGCAACCCCAGGCTCAGCACCCCCAGTCTCAGCGCCCCCAGAGTCAGCACCCCCAGGCTCAGCACCCCCAGGCCCCGCACCCCCAGGCTCAGCACCCCTAGCAGCACCAGAGTCAACAGCTACCTCGACAGGCTCGACTGCGTCTACCTGGGACACACCTGAGGGGGCAGGACCCTGAGGGGGGAGGGGGTCTACCAGGGGGGGACCTGGCGCGAGGAAGAGCGGCGGCGGGGGGAGGGACGCAGTGCGGTAGGGGAAGAGACGGTAGTAGGGAACCGACTCGTCAAACGGCGCGAGGTGGGGTGGTAAAACTGCCAACCAGGCGCGTCAGGGTGGAAGCCAAGGAAGACGCAGGGAACAGCACGGGGGGACAGTTTGTCCGCAGACAAGTCGCGGACAAACGCCCGGGATCCCCAAACACGGAACGCAGACGCATCGCCAACCTTCCCCGTCCACCGCAGAGCAGGGGAGGTCTCCGGCATGGAGACCCGGGGCTGAAGGTTGATCTGATGCGCCGCGTACTGAACCGCAAACGGCCACAGAAAATGGGGGGCAGCCGCATGGATCATGGACGTACGAGCGACGTCCATGACCATGCCAATGCGGCGCTCAGCAATCCCATTTTGCTGTGGAGAGGCCGGAAGCGTGAACGTCAGGCGGATGCCCTGTGCACGACAGAAGGCTCGCAGAAGGTCAGACTAGAACTCTCCGCCTCTGTCGGAGTGCAGACGCAGAACAGGAAAGTCAGAGCCGAAACTCTCTCTGAGCTGGAGACGAGCAGCGCGGATCCAGTCGATCAACACCCCAGTGACCTCACCCTTGCTGCGCAAGGGGAAGACGGTGGTGTAACGCGAGTAGTCGTCAACCACCAGCAGGAAGTAACGCTCGTGACCCTGTCCACGGACGCGGGCTGGGCCCCACACGTCCATGTGAAGTGCTGCAGTGGAGCCTCTGTCGGAGGAAACTCGGAGGAGTGAGGAGCAGCGCGCTGCCGCCCCTCGACGCAGGGAACGCAGGTAGGGGCAGGCCCTGGAGGAAGAGGAGGGAGGGACCGGGGGAGACCAGAGACAAGGACACGGGAGGCCATGCCTCGGAGACGAGGCAGGGAGGGGTGACCAAGGCGGTGGTGCCAGAGGAGAGTCTGGTGAGACAGGAGACGACACGAGCAGGGGGCAGACTCAGGACCAGACCTGGACGCCGCAGCAGACACCTGACCCGACGCAGCTACCTGACCTGACGCAGCAACCGGAGGAGACTCGGTAGTCAGTGTGTACAGGCTCGACCCCGGCTGACGGGTAAACGTGGCCAAGTGTCGGCCCGTCCGAGCACACGTACAGTGGGTCACTCGCTGACTCGCAGGAGTGAACTGGTCAACCCCTCTATCCTGTAGGTCAGCACCACTCACCAAGTTCGTAGAGAACGAGGGGAGGTAGAGACCTGACAGGGTGCCAGAAGGGGCCGCCGGACACGGTAAGACAGTGGAGAAGTGGGCAAGAACAGGACCCCCAGAGGGGTCCGCCAGGGAGACTGCAACCGGCCGACTAAGCGGCGTGAGTGTGGTGCGGTCTCGAAAGAAGGAGCGGGAAGCACCCGAGTCAAGGGTGAAGGTGTGGGAGGCCTGAGCCGATGTGGTACCTGAGAGAGCAGACTCACCAGCACCTGGGGTAGCAGACTCACTAGCACCTAGAGCAGCAGCCTCACCAGCACCTAGAGCAGCAGCCTCACCAGCACCTAGAGCAGCAGTCTCAATGCCCGGGTCAGGCGGAACACACAGGTAACAGTCACCCTCGTCACTAGTAGGCAATGCATACATGGCAGTGAGGATAGCATCATAGTCAAGAGTATAGATATCTACCTTCAGCCTAAGCAGCTCCACCCAGTCGGGGAGCTCAGCCGCGTCGCCAAACTCCGTACGCCAGGCGTCGCTCAGACGGGCGAAGCAGCGGGACTCTGCGTGACCAAACGTCCCGCAAGGCTGACCAGTCCGAGCACCAGTGCGAATGACGTACGGACAGCGAGCAGTAACCCGTGACCCGTCACGCTGAGCGTACCACTCACGAAGCTGCTGGGGTGAAAGGACCGCGCACGGACGACGCTGCAGCTGCACCTGGCCACTACAAGCAGCTGCCGAACTACTCACTCTAGGACGACTCCCACTACGGCCACCCCGACAACCCCAAGTAGCGTACCACTCACGAAGCTGCTGGGGCGTGAGGGACTCACGCGGACGTCGCTGGAGGTGCATCTGGCCACCGCCAGGAGCAGCAGGAGCAGTGGTAGCCGCAGTAGTAGCAGCAGTAGCAATAGCAATAGTCGCAGCGCGGCCACCCCTACAACCCCAACTAGCGTACCACTCACGAAGCTGTTGGGGGGCGAGGGACTCACGCGGACGGCGCTGGAGCTGCATCTGGCCACGCCAGGAGTAGCAGTAGCAGTAGAAAGAGCAGGAGCAGCAAGAGCAGCAGTAACAGCAGTACGGGCAGGGCAGTGCTCACCAGTGGCGAGAAGGGCAGGCGTACGACGGCGGCAATGGCGAGGCCGCGACCACTGTAGGGCGAGGGCTCCGCGGCAGCTGCAGGGGCGGCTGCTCCAGGGGCGGCTGCTCCAGGGGCGGCTGCTCCAGGGGCGGCTGCTGCAGGGGCGGCTGCTGTAGGGGCTGCTGCTCCAGGGGCGGCTGCTCCAGGGGCGGCTGCTGCAGGGGCGGCTGCTGCAGGGGCTGCTGCTCCAGGGGCGGCTGCTCCAGGGGCGGCTGCTGCAGTGGCGGCTGCTCCAGGGGCGGCTGCTACAGTGGCGGCTGCTCCAGGGGCGGCTGCTGCAGGGGCGGCTGCTCCAGGGGCGGCTGCTGCAGGGGTGGCTGCTCCAGGGGCGGCTGCTTCAGGGGCGGCTCCTCCAGGGGCGGCTGCTGCAGGGGCGGCTGCTCCAGGGGCGGCTACTGCAGGGGTGGCTGCTCCAGGGGCGGCTGCTGCAGGGGAGGCTGCTCCAGGGGCGGCTGCTGCAGTGGCGGCTGCTCCAGGGGCGGCTGCTGCAGGGGCGGCTGCTCCAGGGGCGGCTGTTGCAGTGGCGGCTGCTCCAGGGGCGGCTGCTGCAGGGGCGGCTGCTCCAGGGGCGGCTGCTGCAGTGGCGGCTGCTCCAGGGGCGGCTGCTGCAGGGGCGGCTGCTCCAGGGCGCGGGTTAGGGCAGGGCGCCGCGGCGGGCAGGGGTGACGCCACGCGGGTCCCGCAGGGGCGTCGTGACGCACAGGAGCCGCGCCTCGCGGGTCTGGCAGGGGCGTCGCGACGAGGCAGGGGCGACGCGGCGGGGCCGCGACTGGCGAAGGGGCAGGGCCGCGACTGGCGACGGGGCGAGGCCGCGACTGGCGACGGGGCAGGGCCGCGACTGGCGACGGGGCGGGGCCGCGACTGGCGACGGGGCGGGGCCGCTACGGGCAGCGGGGCGGGGCCGCGAAGGGAGCCGCGAGGGAGCCGCGAGGGGGGCCGCGAGGGGGCCGTGAAGGGGCCGTGAGGGGGCCGCGAAGGGGCCGTGAAGGGGCCGCGAAGGGGGCCGCGAGGGGGCCGCGAAGGGGCCGTGAAGGGGCCGCGAAGGGGGCCACGAAGGGGCCGCGAGGGGGCCGTGAAGGTGCCTCGAAGGGGCCGTGAAGGGGCCGCGAAGGGGCCGTGAAGGAGCCGCGAAGGGGCCGCGAAGGGAGGTCGCGAAGGGGCCACGAGGGGCCTGAAGGGGCCGCGAAGGGCCGTGAGAGGGGCCGTGAGAGGCCGTGAGAGGGGCCGCTACGGGGCCTTAGGGGAGCGCGACGGGCCACCAAGGGCAGGGGACGCGATGGGAGGGTAGGCACACGGGGCGCGACTCGGGCAGGGGCGAAGCGCGCTCCGGGCAGGAAAAAAAAAAAATCGATATTCGGTGGGCCCTAGGAAACGTTCCCACTAGGGAACCTGCTCTATACCATGTGAAAGAACGAGGGATGAGTGAACTAGCAAGCAGGTGGGTACAAGTAGGAAAACCTAAAAGTGTTGTACCCCATATTGTCTACCCCACTACAGCATACACAGACTATAGCATATGAGTTTGACACATTCAACATTGACACCACCGTCGGTGTGCGCAAGCCCGGAGTTAACAACGGGAAGATGGAGATGTCAGCGTTCCGTGCTACCTATCATGCAGGTATGTAAGCCAACTCGCACCATCTTGCATTTCTTCACCTCCCACCCTGTGTATTTCCACACACACTCCTATTTATCATTCTCTCCCGTCATCTTGCTAGTTCCTCCCAGCTTTGCGTGCTACCTCTAAGTATTTGTTCTTTTATCATACACCGCATTAGTCCTTATGTATTTGCTATGCGTACGGTAATTGCAATAATTCGGTTACTCATCTTCACATCCCTATTTGTGTTCCCAAAATACCACACATACATATCCCCTGCTACCCAGAGCATCACTGCAATCAGCCCCTCCTTTCCCCCCCCCCCTTCAGATCACATCTCCCCCCTGGATTCATCCCTTCTTTCCCCTCTCTCCCCTCCAGATCGCACCCGCCATTTGGATTCATCCCTTTCTTTCCCCCATCCCCTTCAGATCGCAACTCCCCCCTGTATTCATCCCTTCTTTCCCTCCCTCCCCTTCAGATCGCACCCGCCCCCTGGATTCGTCCCATCCTTTTCCCCCTCCCCTTCAGATCCCCCCTCCCCTCCCCCCCCCCCCCCCCCCCCCCCGCTGGATTCATCCCCTCCTTTCCCCCCTCTCCTTCGGATCGCATCCCCCCCTGCATCCATCCCTTCTTTCCATCCCACGCAAGCAGATCGCACCCGCTTCATCTCCTCCTTTCCCCCCTCCCCTTCATATCGCACCCGCCCTTTGGACTCATCCAACCCTTTCCCCCCTCTCCTTCAGATCGCACCCGCCCTTTGGATTCATCCCCTCCTTTCCCCCCTCCCCTTCAGATCCCCCCACCCCCCTTAGAATCATCCCTTCTTTCCCTCCCTCCCCTTCAGATCGCACCCACCCTTTGGACTCATCCAACCCTTTCCCCCCTCCCCTTCAGATCGCACCCGCCCTTTGGATTCATCCCCTCCTTTCCCCCCTCCCCTTCGGATCCCCCCACCCCCCTTGGAATCATCCCTTCTTTCCCTCCCTCCCCTTCAGATCGCACCCGCCCTTTGGACTCATCCAACCCTTTCCCCCCTCCCCTTCAGATCGCACCCGCCCTTTGGATTCATCTCCTCCTTTCCCCCCTCCCCTTCAGATCCCCCCGCCCCCCTTGGAATCATCCCTTCTTTCCCTCCCTCCCCTTCAGATCACACCCGCCATTTGGACTCATCCAAACCTTTCCCCCCTCCCCTTCAGATCGCATCTCCCCCCTGGATTCATCCCTTCTTTCCCTCCCTCCCCTGAGTCTTTCGATTCTCCCAAGGGCGCGAGGGTGCACCGAGCGCCCACGTCGGCAACAGACAGTGCAGTGGGCATGAAAGGCAAGGAGCCAGATCGCACCCGACCTTTAAATTCATCCCCTCTTTTCCCCCCTCCCTTCAGACCCCCCTAGCCCCCTTGGATTCATCCCTTCTTTCCCTCCTCCCCTTCAGATCGCACCCGCCCCTGGATTCATCCCCTCCTTTCCCCCATCCCCTTCAGATCTCACCCCCCCTGGGATCATCCCCTCCTTTTCTCCCTCCACTACAGATCCCAACCCCTCCCCCTCCCAACTGCATTCATCCCCTCCGTTTTTATTCTCCAGTATACGCCCTCTTTTGTTTCACCGCTTATGCTGCTCCCGTCACAGGTGTCGCAACACTCCCATATACGATAGAACTCTAAACCCTTTTATATGCACTTTTCATTGCAAATCCCTCACCCTAAACCAGACGCGACATCACATGGCTTGATGACATGGAACAGGAACAAAGATGGCGTGCCTTTCTCTACCGACGTTTTCATTCGAGCCATCACCGCTTCATTCCTGCAAGAGGAACTGGGCTCGTGCTGCCATTCGCGCAAGGACAGCAACAACAGGGCCAATCTGGAAGCCCGAGAACAATGCGTGGTCGTTCCATCGTGAAAGTCGGATGGTGTTCATTAGCGATGATGGCATCGGTCTGGGCCATACCGCACAGCCGCTGGGTGGTGGTGTGGGTGTTGCTCCGATCTAATTTGCAGGAAAAATGATAGTGGACCTATTTCGGAAAACCTGAAATAATTGTGTTTTAATATTGTGGATATAATGTGTTTTGTCTGTTTTTATTTAATGTATTTCTAAAATTATAATTGTGGCAATTCATTATACACCAATTACAAAAAAGGTTATAGCATGCAATTGTAAATAGAATATTAATTATGTTACAAATGAATAACCGTAGTAACCTAGTAGCAATGTAATACGAAGCGTGAGGTGGTTTGTAGCGCGCGTTTGAGCACCCAGAATCGTTGTGAATGTGTCAACGCGTCAGCCGTCAGATATTAGCGTGGTTACCAATCAACATAAATATGAAAATCGAATGCATTTTTGAAATTGTCTCTTGCTTTGGTGTAGTGAGGAGGCCCGTAACGGGGGTGTCGTAATCTTTTTCAGCTTGCAGGAAGCAGACACGTGGACACGAAGAGTTTGTTTCGCATCCACATAGACAGAGAGTAACAATCCCCATCAACTTCCCCAGATATTTCGCGAACGAATCTTGAACGTTCCTACTTTGTGGGAGAGCCGCATTGTGTGCTGCAAACTCAGATTCAATCCTACCTCTACGATAACCTGGAACATACGTTTGCCAAACCTAAGAACACATGCCGAGCTTAGACCCCCCTGGAAACGTATGTTTCCCATTGTCGTGAACATAGCTTCTGAAAAACAACCCCCCCCCCCCGCAACCCTGACGATACCCCAACGTAGCTTTCTGAAGCAGCAATTTTTGGGATGTACTTATAACAAGGACATGATCTAGATCCGATTGGCTCATTGTAAACCAGACCCGACCTAGAGATGTCGACCGCAAGCTGGCGGGATTGTCGTCCTGAGTAAGTATCACCAATTCATTTTTTGTGGCCAACATTCTGAAACGACGGGTCAGGCGTAGCATTTCGACCGAGAAGAGGCATGTTCGAGGTTGAGATCATATCCAGGCAGGTTCTCTAGTAACAAAACAAAAATCCGCGAGGTGTGACGACCATTCGCGACGAGGGGTGGGGTTGTCGCGAAAACGATCGAGATTGGGTACGAACTAGGAAACGAAATGGAAATCTGACGGACCACACTCAAAATTCACTTGCTGAATGCATGCAGTCGGGTAACCATCCCACTGTAATATCACCTCAACTTCGGAAAATCTAACCCGTGTGGTCGTTGATGGGACGCGAACACCTCCTCACCTCATCTCACTCAAAACCATTGGGTCACGCCAGCAGATAGCCTCATTGTGTTTGATCTCTCAACAAGCCGGTTTAGGCCGCGTCGCCTTGGGCGAAAATAGGCTATCAAGCAGCATTTGAGAAACAATGGTCTGGCTTTCATTGTCTGTGCACATAAACCTAGTAGCGTATCGGAAACTTAAACCTAGCCGAAATGGAGGGTAGGTTGTTTGTGTTTTTCAGGAGTATGCGTGAGTTGTTCCAAGAACTAACAAACGCATATTCCAGATCCACGCCTGTTGCACAAAGTGATTAGGGAGGGGAACTTTGATGAAGTGCTGAAGATTTTGGACAAGGGAAGCGACATTGAAGCGAGGGACGCTGTAAGAGAACTTCCTTTTTCTTCGTATTCTTAGGGTTCCGGGGTGGTTCATCTCAACGGGAAGGTTTGGGTGAGAGGGAAACACCTGGCCCCCCTTGGGACCAACGACAGAGAGCGACGGAATGGGTTGCAAATCGCTGCTCGACATGCAGGGGCGAGCGACGGGAGCGACGGATGCGAAATCCGTTGAGAAATCCCTGAGAATACATCTCAACGAAGTTAGGGTTTTTTTACATCTGGCGAGTAACCGTACCTCCACGCGAGCAACGAAAACGTCTCGCCACAAGATTGCGACAGGTGTTACTCTTGATCCATTCGCAGAAACTCTTCAAGCACAACAGAACACACTTTATGAACACTCGTCTACAAGTCACGATCAGTATTTCAACCACTAATAAACAAATTACGATACAAAGCATGGGAGCACATGCTGACCGAGGAAAAAATATTTCCATGTTTCTCATGCACAAGATGCATCTGCCCACGAATCTTTGTCAGCATGCACGACAAAGAAAAAACACATTGTGCGAGGCGAGGGTGCACTGTTCACACCCACACACACGAGGCAGTTTCGTCACGGAGAAGTTGATCGAGTGGTGAGGAAAAAAAAAATCATTCCCGTGTGTTTGGGTTCGCATGCACAGTATGCATTTGCCCTCGAATCTTTGTCAGCATGCACGACAATGAAAAAAACACCTTGTGCGAGACGGAGTATACTAAACATACCCACGCAGACGATTGAATTTCGTCACGGAGAACTTTATTGCGTGCTGACAGAGGAAAAACAAATCATTCTCATATGTTTGGGTTCTCAAACACAGTATGCACCTGCCCATGTCAGAATCCCAACCACTAGACCATTGGGATAAAAGGGCTTGTTTCAGTAGCGGGTCAGTGCGCCCATAACCCCCCAGGCAAACGCGCCTGTAACCCCCCCTAGGATCGATCGGGGATCTCACAGTGTAGCTCTACTGACACCCCCCCACACTGGGAGGCCCAGGACTGAGCACAGTGGCAATGGCCAACATGTGCATACACCGGGATTCGAACCCGAGACCGCTCTGATACCATGTCAGAATCCCAACCACTAGACCATTGGGATAAAAGGGCTTGTTTCAGTAGCGGGTCAGTGCACCCATAACCCCCCAGGCAAACGCGCCTGTAACCCCCCCTAGGATCGATCGGGGATCTCACAGTGTAGCTCTACTGACACACGCATCTTTGTCAGCATGCACGACAAAGGAAAATCACCTTGTGCATGTTAACAGCTATAGCCTATGCGGAAGCGTTTAAAACTTCACTACAAGCTGAGACTTAGCAACACTTAACTTTCCTTAAGGCCCTCCGAGTGTGACAACTTGTCACCTCCTAGCCAAGGGCCTAGAAAAACATATAAGGGAGTAGTTATGCTTAGCTCGCTTGCAGGGTGAGAGATCTGGTCGAGCAGCGTTTCGGCAGCACCATGTGAGCGTTTCTACTCTCGTCAATACGTAGTAGTTGAATTCCAGAGTGAAAGCATAACAGCATTGATTGATCCAAGCTAGTAGAAGCATGCATTTTATATAAACTCCTAAGCACACTGAAGGAAAACACACAAAATGGTTGTTTAACTAGAGTCCAGGACTTTGCCAGATATGCCAAAGAAAACGGTTGTCAAACTGCTGCGGAATTTGGCTTGATTTGCCAGTTGAAGAAAACTGTCTTCAAATTTCATGTCTGCCAAATGCCCTTGCTGACTCCACACATGAGTACTCATGAATTCTCGTTGGCAATTATGAACGCTCGTGTGGGATTACCGTTTTCACAAAGTCTCACAGTTGAAAAACGGTTTTCACCGTTTTCTCCCTGTATCGGAAATGTCGCGTTACGTGCACGACGTTTCCGGCGAAGCTACCTGTACGCCGAGTCAATGCGGGATTCGGTTTTCCAACCGTAATCCCGAGCTCGTCCTTTCCCGCAATCATGCACGACCGATATTTCGGTCGTGCGGTACTGTGCACTGACGTGCGCAGTGCTGCGCGTGGGCAGGGCGATCATTCGCCCTGTCCTGTTGCGATCGTGCCCACAGTGCACGCTTGCAACAGTGCGAGGCACACGCGCGGGCCTGAGGGCCCACACGCACGATCAGGACCCCACGCGCGGGTCCTGATATTTCCGCGCAGTTGACCTTGATTGACGCGATGAAATTCCATGTCAAAATTGACTCCTCGTAAACACTCGCGACTCTTCATGAGTCTCGCTTCGTGGGGACTCGTGAAACACTCATGGATCTGCATAATGCTCCCTCTCCATGAACACTAAATGAATAGTCATGGAAATTTGCGATGCCTCGTCGTGGGCTTTCATGAATAAATGTGAACTCGCCATGAATGAAAATAAAGTGAAGTGTGAAAATGAATGTGCGTGGACTGTTCGTGTGATCCGAAGTGATATGCAGGCGGCTGCTTGATGTGCAAAAAATAGCATTCGCACTCAACAAACTCCCCCTCAAGCAGTCGCTTGCTTGCCTCCCAACTCCCCCTTCATGCGTGAGCCTAGTTAAGGCTCATGCCACACAGCTTGGCACAACGCCAGTGGGGTTCTTCAGCCAGACGCTTCGTGAAAAAAACTTCTGGCTGCTGCTGAGTCTTCACGTAGATAGGTTGAATGGTTCCCCTCTGCACTTCCTTGCGCAGCCAATGCCATTTGATCTGCATGTGCTTGGTGAGCCCGTGCAGCACAGCATTCTTGGACATCGCAATGGCACTAGAGTTGTCACAAAACAGTGGAGTACCAGTTTTCTGCTCATGCCCTATCTCTTCCAGCAGCTTCTTCAGCCAAATCAG